CACATTCAGTCTATCTAGATATCCTGGTTTGATGGGCTGTTCAATGTGACAGCTATGATAAACACATTCAGTCTATTTAGATATCCTGGTTTGATAGGCTGTGTATTTTTTAGGATGATCAACTTGGATCTTTGCAAGGTCAAGTTAAAGAGCTGACAGAAGAACAATCTAGGTTACAAAAGACAAATACATCTTTACAGGTACTGTGTTCTATAAATATGCTCAGAATGCCTCCAGACTCGTACCCAGTCGCTTCTCTTATTCTGTGGTTGATCTCATGCTGTGGTTGATGGGAAGGGTTTAGTGAGTTTTTGCGCATTAATTGTCTTCCCATATTCCATTGCGAACTACAGAAGAAAACACATGATTGACGACTGGGTACGAGTCTGCTCCAAAGACATCACGGTAACACAGATATCAGATTTTTATGCGTTATTCAATATTCAGAGGCGCTTCCTTCAAATTCTAATGTGCATAGTTCTTGATAGAGGTGTTTATTGTTGTTATCTATTAAGAGGAGCAAAATATCAAACTCATGATCGCCAATTTTTATGCTTCAAGTAATTTGCAAATCAGGATCAAGTGCAAAACGATGTGTCTTACAACCTTTGCTCATGTTTGCGTTTCTGTTTTAGTCACAAATCGAGAAGCATAAAAAACTTTACGCAGAATCAAAAAGCAAGAACGATAGTTTGGAACAACTTCTCTCTTCAACAAAAAAGGTTTGACATTTTTCCTGTTCGTCCTGCAGTTTAGTTTGTTTTCATCTGTTTTGTAGTCATTAACAACAAAGATGGTGGAGCTAGGGAGCTTTGGCCCTCCCACGTTTTACGAGAATGACAACTTATTTTCCCTTAGTTTGAGTTCCGTCATGAAGAAAAACAAAAATTAGCCATCCCCCACCCCCCCCCCACCGTTGTTATTGTTTCTGTTGTTATTGTTATTGTTTATATCAGTTGTTACTACAGTAATGATGTTGTTATATGGCAGTACTACTTGCGTATCTGCAACTGTTTTTTCTGTAGTCGTTGCCACGTGTTAATACTGTGGAGACGTTTTGACGCGATCAAGATGTTTTCAATTCTATTACTACAGCTATTGATGATGTCTTGTTTCACAGGAGCTCGATAGCATACAAAGAGAACAGAAGCAGTTTGTATCCAATAAAAATGCTACCGAAGTCAGGTAAAGGGGATCTGCCGACATTGTTTTAATAGTGTTGTAGTGTTGCTCACAGTCGTTTGAAACAAATGGACTTCAATCAATCAATCCAATGAAACGCAAAGAAATGAATCCAGATGAACTAGAATGAAAGAAAATGTAATTTTAGGTTTTGGTCTCATAATATTTATTAACCCATTCACTCCATTGACGGCGGCTACTTACTTATTTCTATCAGATTAAACCGTGCACTTGAAGAAATAGACAAATACAAAACAGCATTACATAAGGCCAAGACAAGCTCCAAGGTACGAACATTTCTATAATTTGATTTATCTCTCCACCCGTGCAGAATAAAATCGTTAGTCTAAACGTTTTTATTTAAAAAATTATATTTTATTTGCTCGATCCACTTAATGTTTCCTAATTCAAACCACGTGTAAAATGTCAATGTCAACTTTATTTAGCCAGGGTCAGGCCCTTCCAGCTACGAGGCAGGTATCCAGAGGGGCCCTGCTCATTGTGCCATTCCCAAGACTATAATTTTTGCTAAACGGTTGCGCATGTAAAGACACATGAATATGGATACAACTGAAACAAAGTGGATGTTGTCCATTTCATTTGGTCATTAGTAATCTATTACAAGTGCAACAATGCTCCACAATAGAATAAATAGTGAGTTATGGGAAAAATGCGAGACCGCGATAGAGGGAGCAGATGGCTACTTAATTTGTCAAACTTTAAGGGAGAGAAAAAACTATGACAGGACCTTCCCTGTCCGTTCATTTAAAATAAGTCAATGAGGTAACCATCCCAATATGGTACACCTACTCGTGCGACCGGTGACTTCACTGATTATGCAACTATGCGTGTGTTCTGTCTACTTTTATACTCATTGCTACGTATGGTTGCACATTAAATAGTTAGCTGATTGTAAGTAAAAATTGAACATTTTATGGTATTATATTCCCACAGCTAGCATCCCTCTACTGCTGATTTCAGAGGATCATCCTCTAAGGAGGGAGGGCTGGAACAATTTGTTTTACCAGGTGCACTTCCTGCATACTCTCCCCCAATAGATTTTTCATTACCGATACGACGGCCATCTTGAATTCTATTATTTTGATCAAGACATTATGGGATGCCGAGGGCACAACTATTGAAAATGTTATAGACTACACAGCTGTCAGGATGCCTTTTTATATAACTTGACTTCAAATTATTTGAAACGTAACCGAAACCGTAGAGAGCAATCTTTACTCTCACTTATTCATATAAACAGAAAGCGAGTTGCTCTCCTCCCTCATCTTGTACAGATAACAACACAACATGCATTGGCATTATCTTTCTTGTCACTTTACTCCAACTCTTCGTCCTCTTCCTCGTTCTCCTCGTCGATTTATTTATTTATTTTTTAATTATTTTTTTAAATTTTAAGTTAACAGCAATGTGCACAAAAAATAGTGACCCCCCTCAAAGACTTGCAGACATTTTCGTAGCTCTCCGATTTTTGGTTATAAAATCTAACTACTATCCCTTCATTTGCACCAGCCCTTCCCTCCTCTAATAAATTACAGGTCTTTAACTTGGCTGCTTTGTAATATTCGGAAAAATCCTTTCTTATTAAAATAGCTATTTCAAATTCTTCCTCCTCGGAAAAGTCATTGGATAAGGGGCCTTATACTTCAGACATCCTTGTTGATGCTTCATTTTGTTTCAATAGGATTCTAGTGATCAAGATAGGCGCAGACTTGATCAGATCCTGGCTGAGAGCAAACGTTTAGAAAAACAGAAGAATGAGTTGATGACAGGGTTTAAGAAGCAGATGAAGCTTATTGATATATTGAAAAGACAGAAGGTATTGACGTGAACTATAGGCATTCATGCATGCAGTCTCTTGGACCACCCGTGTTAGATGGATACCTAACGCTAGCCCCATATTCAAGCATATTTAGATATTCAAGGTGGTTACCCTACGGGACTTCCAGTAGAGTGGTTATTGGAGACACATGAATGTATCTGATCATGTGTCATTCCCTTGAGGATTTTGTTCCGGGTAGCCCTCGAACCAAGGGAACTAGTCTAAGCAGAAATCCATAACTAGAAGTGTCTATCTAGTATTAGTGCAGTTTTCGTATGACTGTGAAAAGCTCAGCGTTGGCGTGCCTTGACCGCGATGCTTTCTATTATTTTAATTGGCTAATTTTTTCACGCGCAATGTGATTGGTCTGGCATTGCCGTGACCTTGGCGTGACCGTGTCCGCGCCGTGTTTACGCCGTGTTCATTTGATTGGATGGAGAGTAAATTCTCGTGCAATGTGATTTGTCTGTCGTATCCCTTGCCGTGTCATGGCCGTGTTCGTGCCGTGAATTTTTCACAGTCATACGAAAACTGCACTAGGACAGCGGCTTATGTGTTTCAGGAGTGAGCTTTTTTTAGACAGTACCGCGCAACCAATCATATTTCTCCAAATTATCCGAGCTGTGCGGATTGGTTGGTTTGAGATGAGCCGGACTACTGCATGGATGTATTGGATGTATTTTAATCTATGCCTGCTCTGGTTTTCTTCATTCTACTTTCTTTTCGTTTATTTCAGATGCATATCGAAGCTGCAAAATTGCTTCAATTCTCGGAAGAAGAATTTGTCAAGGCTCTAGACTGGGGGAACTGACACCTGATATCACAGGGGATTGAAGAGCAGATTTGGTGTGCATCTATTAAACTATCCTCTCGATGTTCAATGCCGCTATATGAACCGATGATGGGGCACCGTTGTGTAACATTTTATTGACGTCACTGCACCCTCCCCCCCCCGCCCGCCTCCCCTCCCACACACCCTCACCCTCACCATCCCTCCTCCGGAAAATATCAAATGTTCTGATTGAATAGAGCTTCGTTAAAAGGTTTAAGGCATGTTAAATATATAATGTTTATTTATTGATTCCAAGTTATTTCATGCAAGCTACTGCAGAAAACCATATTGATTTCTGCAATTCTGTCGAATTATATGTAAGGTTGTAGTGAAAAGGCGTCGTCATTGGTTAGTTCGGGCGTGCCGGCTGTTAATAACTAGCGGCTATCATCAGCCGTGCTAAATTTTCATGGTTTAACAATGGAATGACTTCTTATTGAAAAAACACAAATGCGTAGAAAAAAATCACTCGTGGAAGTATTAGTTGATAAACGTAGCCTGTGTAATGCCACTTCCCATCCCTCTCCCTCTCCTTGTCAAAAAATGATACCCTACCCCAGACCCAAAAGCCACTTACCGGCGGCACATACCCGCATACCCGWATAGCAAATATAGGGGAGTACCCCCCCTCGGGAGGTTCTTTACGTTCTTCCTAGTAGAGAGGCCCTGTTAGGGGGTACACATTCGCATGTCGGAATTTACCTCTAAAAGGGCTTTGCTGTCGGCGTAATTTTAGTTCGTCGCAGTAGGTCGTGGTTAGCTCTCGTGTTTCCGGTTTTTCAAAGCCAAGTCGCCTTGTCGGAACTTAGCCCTTCGCCCGACGTAACTACGAATTTAACCGAACACAATTTGCAGCGCAATCGAACTTCGAGGTTCGATTCGTTGTTTTTGGGCATCGAACACAATGGACGCGTCAGCGGTGTGACCATGTAACCAATACGCATGCGCCGAGCGTTACTTGTACTTGATTCAATATGGCGAAGCAATCAAAAAGAACGCATTTTATAGCCGGCATCAAAAATTTTTTTGGAATATCCGCGGGTAAGTAGGGCACTCCGCTGTCCGTTTTTCGCAGGCGTTTGCTTCGGACCATACCGAACTCGATCGATCGCATATGAAAGAAATCACGTAGACTGCACGCTTTCGACCACATCGTCTGTGTTGCGTCTCTTTCAGCAACATACATATATACATAATCTTTATTTAAACACGGATGTCTCATCATACAAAATGCTCTTCCTAAGAGCCGTGTTAAAACTTATAATAAAATAATAAATATAAATTGTATAACTAGAAATAAAAGTAAAATTATATAAATGTATATATATAACTCATAAGATATAAATAGTTGGAAATGTCAAAAATATTCAATATTCTGTCAGCTGGGCCACAATACGACCTCACCTTAGTAAAATTGCTAAAGGGGAAGAGTACCTCCGCTGGCAGAGTATATTACGAATTCAAATTATTCTTTAACAGCAACTTTTTTATGATGTCTTGACGGAAAACGCCTATTTCTTTCTTTGATTTTGTAAACAGAATCTACTGGGTTTTTTGTTTGTTTTGTTTTGTTCTCTCTCTCTCTCGTCAAAAAAAAGGTCGAATCGGCTAAAAAATCTTATTTCTGACTGTATTTTACTTTATTACTTTAGAGATCATTAATGAACGGCCGCCCCTGAGACTACAAGCAAAACTGAATTGATGTGAACTTGTACAGGCTATTTGATAGACAAGACAAGACAACGTATTTTATTGGCTCCGTATAATATAAGCAAATTTACATTGGATTGCTGCCAATAAAAATATAGAATAATTCCATAAACTAATATATATATATTGACTTCTTGTTTATGATATTATCAGCGATCGCCGCCCATCGATCTATATATAATGTCTTTTCCTTTTTTCACCAAAATATCAATAAGTTAAATTTGTCAAAGATTTTATTGCTTTAGCCTTAATCCCTCTTTTTAAAGCAGTCATGTATATATTTAGGTACTATTTTTTGGATTGGTTTGTTTGGGTTTATTCCAGTACAAATTGAATTTATCCTTTTTCGCTTAACCATTCTACTTTAAAGTTTGCTGTCTCCTTTATCTTATTCAGAAGATTTTTCCTTTCTATAATATAATTTGAACATGTTAGAAGGAAGTCATAGTCTCCTACGCAGCCGCTATTTAGTGTCGTCACGCCACACTCACTCCCCTAAGTGGAGTAAACGTTGCTTGACGAAACTAATAGCGACTGCGTAGGAGACTAACTTTTTGATAGGTGGAGACCTTCAGTGTCCGTTTGTGCATGACTAGTTTCCAGTTTACGAGCGGCGTAGGTTAACACAGCAACCCCAATGCCGGTAAATCAAAGTCAAAATAAAACTCAAACAAAAAACAATGCTTTTTTAGACCTTTAGAGTCCAATACTTTATTGAAACAATCTCCAGGTACTGGGGCAAGGATTTCAGGTCCCCACTTTCCCCCACATCTAGCCCGAAATCCCCTCCCCCCCCTCGTGGAAGCCGAGGAATTGGAAATGTGAATTATAAAACTTCGCTCGATCGAGTTTATATGAGTTTTTTGCTGAATGGCGCCGTGACTTTGACCTTTGTCTAATGAGAATAAATTCCTCCAAAATTTGGAATCTGAATCTCGTTTTGAATTCTAATCAAAGCGTTTTTTCGATGCATCCAGCTCGATCTACGAGTCTTATGAAAAAAATCTAAATGTATTTGACGATTGTACATAAGCGTTTCTGTTTTATATTTCAATACATCAGCAAAAACGCTTCGCGTATCCACGAGCTAAAAGGTTTAGAGATATTGGACGAAGGTTAAGGATAGATCCCTCAACAGTTTCAATAATTGTTAAGTAAACGATATCAACAGCAAGGAACCGTTGAGCATGCTTCAAAAGATCACATCAGAACTTTGAAAAAATTAACATTTGACGATTCAATTTTACTGGAAACGATGGTGTTAAATAAGGGATCAACTTCTCAGAAAGAATTATAGGTAGACTTAAATATGTTTGTAAACTGTGGAGTGTTTTCTCTTTCCACACGATATTAAAACACGTTCGTAATAAACTTCCAAGTGGTATAAAAGCAATATGTTCTCGCAAGCGCCTCGGAGAGATTTCCCAGGTTAGATTAATTAGTCATACAAATCTTGCCTCTAGAATGAGAATCATATTGTAACGAATTCAGATCGATGTCCCTTAAGGCCGGTTTAGATGGTACGATTTTCGCCTACAACTATCGTATACAACACGCTCGCGTCTGTCGTTAGTCTCCCCCACAGCCGCTTTTAGTGTCGTCACGCAACGCTTTCACTGCTTGTTTCAGTGGGGGATAGAATCGCCAAATCCAATAGAAAATTCAACACAATTTGCTCCTAGCGAAACAGTTTTAAATCTAAAAATGGCCTGGTTTTGTGATGTTAAGTATTAACATAGGTTAATGGGAGTGGAGCGGTAGGGATTCGGAACTAGATCACGTACATTAAGTGTCGTGTTTCATATTGCAGTGTTCGTCGTTCTGTAGTCTACGCGTTTTCATAGTCAATAGTCAATATAGTCAATAATCGTTTCACTATGTCATCGAAAAAGAAACAGCGACAGCGCTACTGTCCAGGGTGTCACACGACACAGGAAAATCATCGCTTTGGTAAGATGCACAAATCTTGCCAGGGACCCAGTAGCGATTACGACGAATACAGCGACCACGAGGCTAATATTCATGAGACTTCCCCAACACAGACCAATGGAGAGTTACTCAGCGCAATAAGGCTTCTATCGCAACAAGTGGGGAAGCTGCAACTCGACCAGAAGGATCTCCGTGACCAACTGCAACAAAATGGCCCGACAATTCCTACAGGTTTACAAGCTAGCGCGAGCTCAGGTAATTTCAACGAAACGTCTTCTAGCTATAACTATGTCGACCTGTCCGCCCTCCTACCTAAACCCCACGATTCAACCGGGGAAGACGCCAACAGACGCAAAAGCCCTACGATCGAATCCTTCGATCATTGGCTTGAAGCCTGGTCAAGCTACGAACGCAAACTAGTGACGACCGACCCATCACTCTATCAGGAACTTTCGAGTTACCGAATCATAGTACAGAAAGCTAATCGGAAATTTCAATGGAAAGCTGTCTACGAGTTTGATGTGCAGTATCGTCAGAACCTCTCTACGTTGCCAGGGCCTTTCCATCAAATCGACACAACGCTCTACACAACGATCCTCGACTCTTCTGCAGTCCGTAGAGAAGCAATAGCATGTCAACGTTGCCGATCGGAATACCATCAGATATAATATGTGTTAATATGTACTAAAAAATATTCCGGGAGTTTGCTGGCTATTCTAATTCTCTTCGTGGATTGATACGGGTTTTAGAACAATTTTCGGTGAATTTGCGTTGATTTGACCCCCTCCAACGACCATGATCCTTTACGTTTAAACAAAAGATTGTTGAAGATTGTTTTGATGTGACGTCATAGTAGGCTCGATTTACACGCTACGACTCGAGTTGTAGGATGGCGCGAGCGTGTTGTATACGATAGTAGGCGAAAATCGTACCGTCTAAGCCGGCCTTTAGAAAGTGTTCTATAGCAATGCGCTCCTAGAATGATGTGAAACTGGCGACTTCAGGACTTTGTTGGCTGACTGACGTCTTATGTTTCGGCAACCAATGAGAACATGTTTAGTGTCGGGTGTTGACGGACGCTTGGCGATAACACGTTATTCGGCTCGGCAAGTCTAGTCCCGTACTTTCATTCGAACCTCTCAGAAAGGCTAGCTTAGCGGCACTATGAAGGATACAGGAAGATGATGAAGACAACCAAACCTAATTCCCCTTGTATTTTGGGAGGCTTCAAGCGATTTCTTCTTGGTTTGGCTGTAATTGGTGTTTTATTTGCTTTTTTGTTGATTGAAAACGAAAGGACAAGCAGTGCTCCACGACCAAAAGCTGTGAGGTATTGGATTCAAATTGCAAAAGACACAGTATCGAAGGCACAAAGTGCTGTGTATTTTGCTAGATACAATTCTTCAAGCTCTAGGACTAGTATTCTAAATACTTTATACAACAGAGTTGATATAAAGAAACGAAAACCAACAGCGGTTCCTCCAAAAACTACGTCACCGATATATTTCGATTACCAAAGGACAACACAATGGGGAAAACAAAACAAGACAGCATGGCAGTTGGTATACGGTGATTTGGACTGCCCTGATAATAGTCGTAGAGCATCATTAACGGCAATTTTAAAAAAATGGTCTGAGATTGCTGAAAAACACAACATTCAGTATGCTTTGTTTTGGGGAAGTTTGATAGGAATAGTTCGTAACAACGATGTGATTCCTTGGGACCACGACATGGATCTTCTCGTTCACTATAAAGATATCTTAGTACTAGAGAAACTAGGATGGCCAAGAAATATTCAGGAATGGGACGGTAATACCTATATTAATGCTATCCCTAGCTCTGAACATAATAAGTCAATGGACGACAGACTTCGATGGGACTGTCAAGGCAAGGTGAGTCAATGCTCTAGGCTTTTATTCCAACGCGTGTATGTTGTAAATAAACTCCTTTAGTAGATTTGTAGCAGTTCAGCTCGTCCTACTTTACGGAGTCAAATAGAAAAAGTATGGATCTGTTACATCGTAATTTGCAATGAAGCATGACTGTAGCCAGAATGTTGGTCTGCAGTGGAGGACAAATTAAGTTTCTCATCAGGTAGCCCAAGTTTGTTTCTGTTTGCTCAGATGATTTGATATATGCAAAGTATACAAATATAATAATGAAAGTTTAAAAAATCGAATTTCCATAATATTGAAGTCTTTCTATTCGAATTTCAGTGAGTCATGGTCTTTTGAACTTCACCCAATACCTACTAAATAAAAGTATTTCAATCTTCATGCAGAAACTAGACGCGCGCTGTGGCGCTTACTCGGGGTTCTTTCGTGGTTCTTTCAATTCCCCGTAGTAGGCTTTCACCGAGTTTCAATTCATTCTTACTCGTAGATTCTCATTCCTGTTCACTGATTATGAGATGAAATAATGCTTTCAACGAACATAGAAAACATAAAAAAGCCGTTTATTTGAGTGTTAGGTTTGATCTGAACGAACACAAAGTTAATAATCCACAAGCTCTTTTTTTCGAAGTGCGTAACGCTAACATTGAACTTTGCAAAATGGTTTCTTCCAGAAAATAAGAAATGAGAGGAGAACTCAAAACATTAACAAAGAGCAAAACGAATACCAATTCCGATGGAATCTTTATGGAATGACCGGCCTAACTTACCATATTAATCGAGCGCAGTTTCTCAAGGAACAAAACACTCCTTAGGCTTTGATCGATATTGCAGTAGAAACTATGACCGCGTATACCGCCGTCTCGGTCAACAACTCGAAGATTTCACAACAAAAAGCAACTAGCGATTATACATATCCGTGTAAAAGCAAGTTTAATAATATTTCTAAAGGAATTTGTAGAAAAGATCGGCTTATTTTGAAGAGAAAATGAATATTTTCTGATCTTGTCGTATTGTGATGGCAAGTTGACGAGTACTGTGACATGCATAACGCAACACTAAGTTTCATTTAAGACATTTTTTCTGTGCCCGCAGTAATAGCGATGCGCGGACGTTCTAAAAATAGATTACGTCAACTTTGGACCCCCCGCAAAGGTCGGACAAACATTGCTAAAGAATAGTGAGTCGAAGGGAAGAATATATAGTTGTTGTCGAATATTTTGTGCTGTAAATGGTCGCGACAAAGCACTGCTGTTGGGGAGAGTGTAAGAGTRATTCTAGATATCCTGATTTGCTTCACCCGGCGCTAAAGAAGAGATTGCAGGAAAGTAAACCGATATTTCTACCGTTCCCAAAGAAGTCCCAAGGACTCGAGAGATGTACTAGATGGGTTAATGCTTGTGGTCAAGGTAAAGCTTTTACAGTAGATCGTGTCACAAAACACACATATATATGCTACTTGCATTGGCCAGGAGAGGCAGGACCTACAGAGGAGTTCGATGTGCCCTTGAAGGCAACTCTGAGCCAAAGGGAAGTATTGAAAGCGTCAAGACGAAAGCGAAAGCCGCCACGTGAAAGACATGCGGACGCCGTTCCTTG